ATTTACTTTTCATTTGATATATTTCTTATATCTGTGTTATAATAGTGATTATCTGTTAATTATTAAATTACTTAATCTGATTTTCATTATTGTCTAAACAGCCTATATTCCCAACATAGATTTATGCTAGTTGACTACTTTGATGCTAGTTGACTACTTTGAAGAGAAACAAGATGAATTATAAGATTGCTCATATTCTTACGTACTCCTCTATGATTGACACTGTCCTTCATACTTTTTTCTGTACGCATAGTAAGATTTTAGGATAGTAGTATAGATTTATGCTAGTTGACTTCTTTGATTACTATAGTATGAACAATAAATTTTTTGATCTTTTCTCTAAGTATAACGGAATAAATTTGTTGTTCATACCACAGTATTTTACTGTATCATGAACAATATTTTTTTACGTATAGAACAGTAGATATAATTTTTAATTTTAAGCATATAATAATTAAATCAAATGTATTAAACCTTAGAGTAAGGAGGTTCAAGATGAAATGCTTAAAAAATTACAATAGGATGTGCTTTGCACGTGGTACACACTAGTAACTTATTAGTTGATGAACATACAACCCAATGGCGAAGGGAGGTGGGGTCAAGAAGAAGGGCAAGTATGCGCACCCCCCCCCACCCCCCCAAAAAAAATCAAAACAAACAAAACCCAAACTCTAGTTATGAAATGTGATTTTGGGGGGCCGAATTTGGATGGTATGCAGGAGCAGTTCAAAGCATGATGTAGGGGAGTAATATCTTTAAAAAACCAAAAAAATTATGTAATAGTGAATAATAGATAATTAGAAAAAAAAATACATCTATTTTTGGACATAAATGCATCCGAAAGAATTTGATAAACAACAGCGTAAATTAAGAAAATGAATAGAATTATACCTGTCAATTTGTTTTTGACGAATGGAATTATAACATTGAAAGCAGTTAATTAAATAGTGTTGTTTTTGTTTTTTTGTTTTTCCTGTTGTGTTTGGTCTTTCCATCGTTAATCCAAAATCAAATTCTTTTTTTCCCCCCTTTATTTATCTAAAACTCTACTCTAAAGGCTTAGACTATTTTGTTTTACATTAATTACCCACTCTAAAGTAAATCTTTTGGATAGTTTAATTAATTACCATCTTAATTAATTAATTAATAATATCAACCTAGAACTTTCTTTTTGCATTGGAGCCTTCACTATCTCAATTGAATTT